CTCCATGTGTTGCACAAGCGTCATTCGTTTGTTGGGTCATTTGAGTACTGAGCCTAAATTTGCATGTATGTAAATTTTACACAAAGTTGGTCGGTTTTTTTTTTTTTATAGGTATAATGGTTTATTAAACTTATTTTTACAGAACGTTTGCATTAGTTACATTCAAAAGCAGTGTTTTTTTTTTTTTTTTTTTTTTTTTTTTTTTTTAAAGGTTCCTTGATTTTTTGAGGGGGGAAGTTATTGATTTCTTTTCATTACATTGTGACAAAAAATATAGTAAAAGTTACAATGATTAAATTTTTGAATTATAATACTTTCAGTGATCCTTGGGAATATATAATTAAAATATTTATCCTTTAAGAATCCTTATTGATTATGGTTTCTCAATTTACCCTACTTAAGAGCGTGTAATGAATCTTCATGTTTTGAACAGTTTTTTAAATATAAAGTGGAAGTAAGAAAATGCTAAACAATGTCAATCTAAGTTATAAAGGGTTTTTTTCTTTGACGAAGGGTTTAAGTAGCGAAGGCCATAAGCTAAGCTTTATTTTTGTCATCCGAACTCCCCTTTAAACCACCAATACCTCCACGTTTTTAAGCCGTTAACGTGGTGACTAAATCGACCTGCCGCGCGGGGTTGTATTCATCCATGTCAGAGGGGGTCTAAGAATGCAGTTGGTACTAGTGGTTTAACTTTGTCATATATGTGGGATAAAAACACTATATATATTGAGATTAACAAACATATGAAGAACAAGTTTTATTTCTTCACTCGTTTATTGGGGATAAAACAGTAAAAGCAGAAACCTTGTTTAAATTTTTTGAAGTTTTTTTCCCTCCCCTTTATATTAACTTATTAAGCATATGATGAGAGTGGAGCAAGTGTACTTGAACTTTCAACACTATGGTAAAGGATGTGGACTACCTAAAACCTTAAGCATTCAACACGAAGGATAAGAAAAATTTATAATCATGTTGTATCACAAAATAACAAAAACACATAAAAATATTTTTTTTTTTTCTCAAGATATAGGATATTTGGTAAAATATATATAAATCTAGGAAGATTTTCATGATCGGACGGTCCCTCGGGCATGATGTCTGGGGGAGTTTGACGCTCGGCATACATTGGCATGGGAAAAATAAATTAAAAAAATGGTGGGGGGGGGGTGCGCTCTCGGAGAGGAGCCCAAAATTGGGCTCTTTTCGTTTTTTTAGTGTTGGCTTTAATGGGGGGCCAAGGGGTGTATAAATTATTTTCAATAAAAGGTTTAAAGAGGGCGTGCCTTTGTGCGAGTCAGTTATTTTATTTTTATCTTCAGTTCCCTAAGGAATTATGATGGGACCCTAAGCCAAAAGTTGTTTGTATTGCAACTATATACAAAAAAAAAATTCATATATAAATGGAATAAGTAAACAAGACCACAATCTTTATCAAATAACCTTAATTTCTGAAGTAGACTGTGGGATAAATATTAGGCTTGGAAGTTTTTGTTTTTGGAACCCTATCTGTCTATTTATGTTCTCAGTATCTTTAGGAACCTTAAACCACCAGTACTTGGCCCAACTATCGGCCGCAGAAAAAAATAGAGTAAAAATGTTTTTATTTGGATGAATTTGGGCGCACTATAGTGACCAGTACTTTTCCTACAATCATGGCTCGTTAACGGGCACGACCTTAGGAATTACTGGTAGTTTAACAACATTCCCCTTGAAAACTATAATAATAAGGTAGGTCTTATATATAGCTAATTACCAGTTTCGTTATTTATACACACGTACTTTCCAATGTAACGTATTTAAGATACGAACGGAAAAAAGAAAAAAAAATTATACAATTTTTGTTTTGTATCTAGAACCCTGTTGGTCATTTTCTCCTCTAGTTCAATTTTGACCTAATACTACATAAAATAATTATACCAACTTTTGCATTTTTACCAATAGTTCAATTTTGACCTAATAGTGCATAATTTTTTTATGATATTCCCTCAACCATCTCGTGCAATATTATTCAAAAATCAAAGCCATATATGTTTTAATTTTTTAAAAGATGAGTATTAAATACTTTCTAGACACGTTTTACAATTCGTTTGCAACATTTAAAGAAACAGTCGTTGATGATGAGGTCGGCTATAAGTGGATCCAAATGTCATTTAATTATTTTATTTTGTTTTTTAATTTATCATACCCGTTCTGTTAAGCTCAATCTGATGACTATTACGAGGGGATTTCATTAAAAAAAAAAAAAAAAAAAAAAAAAAAAAAAAGTACAATTAGGGTACAAAGTTATTTTATAAGTAAATTTGACCTAACTCACAGTCAATCTTGTAATATAACCTCTTTATTTTATTTTGTTATTGAATTTTCCAAGGCACCGAGCAAATGCCCATCACATTTGTTGAAGGCACCATAACCTATGTAGTTTTTTTTAAAGACACTATATCCCATATGTATTTGTTGAAATACCCATCATAACATATCCATTGTTAAATATAAAAATAAAATAAAATGTGTGAGTGATTTAAACATCAATTGTCGGAGGTGACCCTTTTTCGTACGAATGGAGAATGTGCTTAAAATTTATCAAACCTATTAAAAACCTATAAGATCTTGTATCAAATATTTGAGTTTTGCACGAAATCTCCTTTTTATGTGGTGGTCTAACCGAGCATACTTGAACTATATCTCGTCAAAGATACTGCTGGTGGGTTAAGCCACTAGTATGAGACTCATCCTTTGGGGAAGAATTAACTGATTAACTAGGGGCTTGAAGGAAGTTGAAAGCGTTTAGAGTGGAAATATTGGTAGCACAAGGCAAATTTTACATGGCGCCGACGCTTATAAAATGTGAAAAGTGATGTGTAAATTTTCACATAAATAAGCGAGTGGTGTGTGAAAGCCCTTGGGACTATAACTCATGAGATGAAGAAAACCCTTTGTTGTAGTTTATTTTTTCCCACTTATGATGAAAAAGCAATGCGCTACAAAGTGATACAACAATGTTTTCCGAGGTGATAGGGGTTGACCTAAGTTTGTGAACACCATGTTCATTTGACCATGTTGACCCATGGCGAACATGTTCATGTGAGTTAAACATAAGGTGTATTAAATGCATATATTTGTTAACATTGGTGATGAGTGTAGTGCGATGTACAATGTTTTTTTTTTTTATCTTTGTTATAGTCCACCATAGGTTAACCTGTATACAAAACCAAGATAAGAGACACTTCAATATTGCTGGTTTTATATATTATTGTTTGATGTTATTTTAGGTAAGTGGTGACAGTGTGTTGGATGAACGAATTGTTGGAGACATCAATTGAATCAATAAAGATATGAGTATTATTTTTGCAAACGTTACAAAAAATATTTTTCTTTTGCATAAAGTTTATGGATGAAAATGTGTATGTTATAAAATTGCGATTTGGTGCGATGAATTAAACTTTCCCTTTGCAATGATTGTAAAGGTGATCGTGTGATTGTTGGCCTAGTGACCAATCACCCCTCAACTCTTGAGGGTGAATTTTTTTTTATAGGGATAATTTACTAAGTACACCCATAAGTTGAGATATATATCAAAACCCCGTAAAAGATGAGAATAGAGTGGAATATCCCTCTGACAAAAGAGACTTTTGTGACATACGCTTAACATTCGTTGGACCCCCAATGTTATTAATATATCATTATCGAGTACTATTAAACTTTGCAAAATGCCCGAGTACTTGCCAACTTTTCCAAGACCCGATTGCAAAATGCCCAGGCCTAAACTATGAGGTCCAGATTACAAATATGCACACCGGTCGGAGAAGGGGGTTTAAACCGCTAGTACCTTTCCCACATATTGACCGAGGGCAAAACAAAAAGGCCGAAAACGAAAAAACGGGTGATCGATAAAATTTACCAACAACGGTCTGATCCTGCTTGGCTTTCACGTAAACCGGCACGCGAAATTGATTTTCAAGCGCGGAAAGGTACTTAGGGTATTATGTTCTACCCATATCTTTCAGGGACATTTTGACATGTATCTCAACAGATGGGGGTATTTTGCAAATTATTTGAAAAACAGAAAAAAAAAAGGGTAGTGACCCTACGCTGATCCCGATTGGACTCTGGTAGTACTGGACAGCCGTGGCCTGATGCAGGAGTCACTTGCAAAGGTATTGGATCTGGATGTGTTTCATGTTGCGATGGAAAAAAGAAAATCAAACGCAATTTTCTGCACTCATTCTCAAACGCGCCCAGATTCAGGCATCTAATGCAATTCTTCTTGCTAGTGGGACGTCTCCCCTGCCGATTCCGATAGTGCAAGCTCTGCATTGTTTTTTTTTTTTTTTTCCCTCTCTCTCTCTCTCTCTCTCTCTTCTTAGCAGCGGAGATAAGAGTGAGGGTGAATTTTTTTTTTTTTAGCAATAATTTTTGGAAATAAAAGGGTGAATCCGAGGGTGACGGTGAGGGTGAAGGTTTGCATTTTGATCCGATGTCATAGAAGGGCGAGGCGGGTGATTATTTATTTATTTATTATTATTATTTTTTTTGGGGGGGGGGAAGGCGAGTCATTTTTTTAAAATTTTTTATTTTGTTTTGAAAGGACCATGGCCTTGAGGTATTATCATTGGACGAACCAGCCCAGGTAAATTCAATCTTGTGTCTAATCTGACACCGGGTGGCCTTTTCAGTCCAGGGTGGCCTTATTGCCTTCAGGGAACGCCCAATGGGGGACACCGGCCAGGGGACAGCCGGTAGCAGAGGGACCGAGCATCATCTGACTGGTTAGTCGCTGTGCCTCCCTGATTACCCCTTCCCCTATGAACATCAGCAGAGACTTGGGGGGACCAACGGGCTATCTCTAGGTGGCGGGCGCCAAGCATGCCCAGCAAGGCACATGAGGTCGATGGGGATTGAACCCAAGACCTCCTGAATGCCACTTGCGTGCCTCCCCAACTGAGTTAGGTCGCTGTATAAGGCGGGTGATTCGATTGCATCGAATCGAGCAGCAGTATTCGGGGTTAAAAAAAAGAGAAAAAAAAGAGAAAAAAAAGAGAAAAAAAAGAGAAAAAAGAAAAAAAAGAGAAAAAAAAAGAAAAAGAAAAAAGAGAGTGGCTGACGAATACCTTCCTCCTCGCCGCACTACTCACCAAATGTACAAAATGAGAACGGATATTCCGCTCGAACATGGAAAGATGCACCACCATCATTTCTGTCTTTTGTGCATTTTGTGAGTAGTGCGGCGAGGCCCTAATGGCATACTCATACTAGGACTTTTTGCACCAAGCTCTGGACGTGATTGCGGCCAGATTCGTCCATGTCTTGCCCTAATTACGCTCAGATTCATTTAAGGAAGTCCTACAGTACTGTGAGTATATGCCCTAAGATCGAGTATCAACTATAGTATCTGTTGTGATCAGTTTAATATCTGATCTGCGGTCCAGCGGGCCACGTAAAAAAAAAACAAAAAGAGGGTGGCTGACGTGTCGGCGGTAGAAAAGTCGAAGAGAGGAGGGGAAGCGTAGCTGACGTGTCGGGGGGGGAAAAACAACACGTGGGGGCACAAGTGGAGAGAGAGTGGGTAGTAAGTAGTTGTTGACATCAGCACGAAATTTTGAAGAGGAGGGGGAAAGCTACTGACGTGGCCGAAGAGGGGCAAGGAGCAGGTCAAGAAAAAGGCCCGCGAAGAAAAAGAAGGTAGGTGACGTCAACGCAATTGCGTCGTCTGATAGCCGCCTGCTGCCTCTCTCTCTCTCTCTCTCTCTCTCTCTCTCTCTCTCTCTCTCTTCGCTCCCTGCACTCCTCACTCCTCGCCATCCTCCTCCTGCTCTTCATCTCCTACCCCATCCTTGCGCGTCTGGAAGGCGACTGCTGGCTGCCGCGTGAATCTCTGTGTCTCTCTCTCTCTCTCTCTCTCTCTCTCTCTCTCTCTCTCTCTCTCTCTCTCTCTCTCCATCGTGAGTCTGCTTCTTCCGTCCCGGCACTCCTCCTCCTCCTCCTCCTCCTCCTCCTCCTCCTCCTGCTGCTGCTGCTCTTCATCTCGTACCCCACCATCCTTCTCATCTCTCCCCTTCTCCTTTCTCCCATTGGCTCCCTCCACTCCTCTTTCTCCTTTTCCTCCTTTTCGTCGTTCTCTTGTTTTATTCTACGGATCCTTCCTGTCACTCCCGTCATCCTCTCTCCGAAGACCTATTCTCCTTTTTTTTTCCTTCGATTTTTAACTTCTCCTTTTGCTCGTTTCTGCTCTTCTTCCTCCCCTCTCCTTTCGCCCTCACCGACCTTCTCTCCCCTCTCCCATCTTTCTCTCCCATTCTTCTCTCCCTACCCTCTTTCTCTCCCTCCCTTCTCTCTTTCTCTGCCCTTCTGTCTCCTAGCCTTCTCTCTCTCCCCCCTGTTTGCGAGCACTCGGGGTGAGAGAAAGATACCACACAGAGAGAGAGAGAGAGAGAGAGAGAGAGAGAGAGAGAGAGAGAGAGAGAGAGAGAGAGAGAGAGAGAGAGAAGGGCGGCGGAGAGAATGATGTGAGAGAGGAGAGGAGGAGAGAGGGTAGCTGCAAGATGAGGCACCATATGCGAGCACATGCGCGCCCATTGATTTTTTTTAATTTTTATTTTTAATTTAAAATACTCCGGTGTCCCTTTCACCAGTAGCAGCAGCCATCGGGGCGTGCTCGAGGCACTCCGGCCAGGTCCATCCCTACCTTCTTCCCCTGAATACAACGTAGGGTCATTATAGCTGTATCTGGGGTACCTTTAAGTCTAAATACACAGCTATAATGACCATCTAAATACACAGCTATAATGACCATACGTTGTATTCGGGGAAAGAAGGTAGGCTGCACTGATTTCAATGTTCACGTATCCTCTTTTCTCCCAAATCTTGACAAGTCGACATCTCAACAAGGAACAGCCACAGCCACAGCCACAGCCACAGCCGCAGACTAAACCCAAAGGCAAGAAAGAATACTCCCACCCACTAGAACACAGTACCGTCTTCCCCCGAATACAACGTACGGTCATTATAGCTGTATTTGGAGCACCTTTCAGTCTAAATACAGCCATAATGACCGTACGTTGTATTCGGGGGAAGAAGGTAGTAGATTCATGGTCATCCCCTTTTCCCACCCACTAGAAACCCAGAGAGGAGATTCAGTTGGCTTTGATGTGTTTTTTTTTTTTTTTTTTTTTTTTTTTTTTTTGTTTTGCTTTTTCCGCCAACTCCCCCTGGTAGCACTAGGTGATATGGGTCAGTGGCCCGAGATCTGTTGCCCTATTTTTACTCGTTTAAAAAAAATATATATATTTAATTTTATTTTTATTTTTATTTTATTTTTTGAACACCGAGTATGTGCGTTTTGGACTTTTCCAATTATATAGTGAGAAAATATTCGAAGAAACAAATAATTAAATGTAACCACTTCTCTATCTGATTTTTGTGTATATGCCGGGTCCACTTGCCCGGCCGGGCCAAGAACAAGGAAAAAAGTAAAAAATAAAAAATAAAAAAATATATTTTAATTTGGATTTTTATTTTAAATTGGGTAAAGAATTTCGATGTGACCCTGAGGCAAAAGTTGCTCAGTTTATTTTTCTGCACAACATAGTTTTTTTTTCGGATTTTTTTTTCTTCTTTGGCTGGGACCTTCCCTGGTCCTTGCACGGCCGGGCCGCCCGGGAAAATAGGGTGATCCGGGCGGCCCGGCTGGTAGCCTACCGTCTTCACCCTAATAGAACGCCCGGTAATTATCGCCGTATCTGGGCTGAAAGTTGTGCCAAATACAGCTGTAATGACCCGGCGTTGTATTCGGGTGAAGAAGGTAGGTATATGCTGAATCTCCTGACGTCTGCCTGCCGTATGTTGACTCTTTTTTTTTCCTTTTAAACACCTCGACTCTGTGCCTTTTGAAAATTTCCAATTATAGGGATGGCTGGCGAAGCCAGGGGATCTCGCGTTCAAGGCCGTCACTGGAGCGACGTCTGCCTGCCCCTTTTTTTTTTTTTTTTTTTTGCCTGCCCTGCTTTG